GCAGCCTGCGGAGCCCCTCGGCCCTCCGCGCAGCGCTGCGCAGGGAAGGCGCAGCTCCGCGCCCGCGGTCAAGACGGGGCGAACCGCGCTCGGGTGATGCCCGTCCCCGATGATTTTACAGCAACATTGCAAAAAACGGATCAGATTTTACTAGACACTGAGGAAAACAAATAAAAGGCTGTTTTCGGTGACCTGGAGTTGTCGATTTTTCTGAAGTTGTTTACTCTCCAGATTTAGACTGTTTGCTCACCGAAGATCCCCTAGCCAGCTGGGTAACACTTGTAACACAACCGTGTATGTTGTACTTGAACTTATTGTTTGCTTTGGAAATGTCCACAGCTCATATAAAATCACATTAAACAAATCCCCAACCATTTCATTACATGAATCACTTACTTAAATCCATTAGAAATATCTTCCCCCCCCCTTCTTTTTTTTTTTTTTCAAAGAGGGGAACCGAAGAGGTATATGTTTCTCCACTGGGGAGGTGGAAAATAAGTTTATTAAAGCGTCCAATTTGCATCCAGCTGGAAGGAACGGCAGGGATTTTAAACAGATGAAGTGGGGGGTGAACCCATTTGTGTCATAAATTCCAGGGCACTGCACTTCAACACGTCCAGGCAGGAAGGTGGCGTTGGAAAGGAGAAAATACGAGCGGACCTCGGAGCTGGTGCTGCACCGGGCTGCAGCCGCGCAGGAGCCGCAGCGGGCGGCAAAGCCACGCCGACAAGCAGCTCGCGCGGAAATCTGGGCTGGCTTCCTGCAGGGGAGAAAGTTTGCTCTTGTGTTATTCAGAATCGAGGGAGGAAAAAGTTTCGATATAATAATAATAAAAAGAATCCCCCAGATATAACCACAAAAGCCCCCAGCTGATTTTTTTTTTTTTTGAAAGACATCCGCAGCCGTTTTAGTCCGTGTGAGGATCGCTGATCGGAGGGCGCACAAACCCTCCTGTTGGCGGGTTTCCTGCCCCCCATCTCTACCAGCCCGCACCCGATTTTCTTGACTTTGGGCTGTTTTTTTTCCCCCTCCCAGTGGTTTTTATTTAACACATCCGGTGGGGAGAGAGAAAAATTTAGAAGGAGCCTGTTTTCTATTTCACAATATGGTCATTGTTTATCAGCACATGCTCGCTCCG